GGACGACGGGCGACTTATTCGAATGTTACACGGGCACACCAACTACGTTCGCTGCCTGTACGCGGAGGGGAGTGCCGTTGTGAGCGGCTCCGACGACTGCACGGTGCGTGTGTGGGATGCGGGGAGCGGCGAGGCGCAGCTCACCGGTCATTTTCACGGCCGTGCGGGAGTCTCGGCGCTGTGTCGCGTCGGCGTCACAATGTGGTCGGGCGACAACGAGGGGCGAGTCATTGCCTGGAAGCTGAGCACGTGTGAGGCATTGCGCGTGCTGCACGCACACGGAGGTCGTGTAGCCTCCCTGCGAAAGATCGGCTCCCGCGTTTACTCCGGCGGGGCTGACGGCATCATCGCGGTGTTTGACGCGGAGGACGGCCAGCTGGTGCAGCGGATCGAGGAGCACCGGGGCGGCCGCATCACGACGGTTCAATGCACATTGGAGTGCGGACGCCAGAGCATGTGGGCAGCTGCGTCTGATAACTCGGTGCGTTGTGTTCATCACGACGAACGCTGTGCCATGACTTCGGACCGGGAGCGATTTAACGATATGCGCTGGTACTACGCCACGGTGCGGTCGCACCACGAGGCAAACGAACGGTTGCTAGATCAGCAGCGCGAGTTGACGCAGCTGCTTCTTCTCTCCCAGGGCGGGGACAAAGCCGTGCAACGCATGCTGAATATGGGCAAGAAGGTGAAAACCTCAACGCTTGTTAACTGTTGGATGCTGCAGCACAACATGCGGGAAGTGGAGAGGCGGACACGAGAGCTACAGAAAGAGCGTTCGCAACTACAGGCTGAGATACACAAACAGGAGCAGAACCTGGAGGCGATGCGCGGGGCTCTTCAGAGAACATTAGAGGCAGTTCAGCGGGCCCGCTCCGGTGGCACGAGGGATCAGCTGCTAGAGGATGCAAATGTTGCCAACTTTGCGCCTGTGGTGGTCTCCGCGGCGCCCGTACTAAAAAAGAGCGGGTCAGCTACTTTACAATCAGGAACAACTCCACCGGCGCCCCCAACAGCAGGTGTGCCAACGCCTTCAACTGCAGGTGTGCCGGCGCCCCCAACTGCAAGTGTGCCAACGCCTTCAACTGCAGGTGTGCCGGCGCCCCCAACTGCAAGTGTGCCAGCACCCCCAACAGCAGGTGTGCCAGCACCCCCAACAGCAGGTGTGCCAGCGCCCCCAACAGCAGGTGTGCCAGCACCCCCAACAGCAGGTGCCGCAGGGGGGATCCACCTCTTCGTTCAGCAGGAAAATCGCGGTCATAGTTTGACTTTTAGGTGTACATTTTTGCTCCTGAAAACCGTAATTTTTCTTCATCCAGCTAGTATTTTGCAACGTGTGGCAACTCTCCATACATTGCTTGGTTCTTATGAACGCAATGACAATGGAAGCAAATGAGATAGCAACAAAAGTTATAGCCGTGAAAGAGTTCATCTCTTTTGCGTTATTTTGTCTTATCACTGGATCACCTTGGCATTTTTCGTTGGTTTCGATAAACAAAGGACTGCCTAGCAGGAAGTCCTGTAGCGAAGCGAGTGTTACACAATGGTGCAGAAAAAAAACGACAAATCGACGTTGGGTAGAGCAGAATTGGGTGAAATCGACAAGATTTTTGCCACTGCGTCGCCTGCGAGAGTGATGGTTACATGTGCTCACCATGTATGGATGGCACTCGAGAACGGGGTAGAGGTACGCAATGCGCGTACAGCTGAACTTGTGCATGGATGGACCACAGAATCGTCAAGAGATCGTTCCGTTACTGGAATATGGTCGCTGCTTGCCGTACGAACACAGAGCAAGGAGCCGCAGGTTTGGATGGGTCTTTCGAACGGCAGTGTTGAAGTGTATGACGCTCGGTCCTTCGTCATGGTGCAGCAGCTGAACAAGCATGCTGGCGGAGTATACTGCCTTGCCGAGTTCGGTGGCTACGTGTACTCTGGGAGCAGTGACTTTAAAATTGCGCAGTGGGGCGCGGACGACGGGCGACTTATTCGAATGTTACACGGGCACACCAACTACGTTCGCTGCCTGTACGCGGAGGGGAGTGCCGTTGTGAGCGGCTCCGACGACTGCACGGTGCGTGTGTGGGATGCGGGGAGCGGCGAGGCGCAGCTCACCGGTCATTTTCACGGCCGTGCGGGAGTCTCGGCGCTGTGTCGCGTCGGCGTCACAATGTGGTCGGGCGACAACGAGGGGCGAGTCATTGCCTGGAAGCTGAGCACGTGTGAGGCA